TCCCTTCCTGCTGGCAGGAGCTGGGCTGCTCATGGCATTCAGCTCTTCGTAGCACAGAGGGCTTCTCCAGCCCTCACTAAGCCCAGAATGGGGGCATTCAGGTGAGGAAACCAAAGGAACTGGTGCAGCACATGGAGACTCCCGAGGTCAAAGTTCTGTTACTAAACCTGGCTGGAAAGATCACCATGAAACAGCAAAGCAGTGAAAATGTTGATTTAGTTGGACGAAGCCAAGGCTGACCAAAGGCCTTTCTGTGCTGCTGTCCCTGGGCTCGCAGCCAGGCAGATCGGTCACTGGGGCAGACACAAAGCACGGCATCATTTCTCAGGCCAGGACCCAGCACATGATGCTGGAGCCAGCAGCCTTGTCAGCATCCAGCCTGGCTACCTGGCGGCACCCAGGAATCCCAGAGGCAAACACGGGCATGCAATGTGGTCACAGAATTCCTCTCATAAGACAGACTCCTGGGATGTGGGGCTGGGAAAACCCTAGCATTGCTGTGGTCAGCTTCCCTTTCCTGCACAAGTATGGCCATGGCAGCAGTAGGGTTTCAGTCCTGGTGAGTCGGTTAGACTGAATTCTGCATGAAATAGGAAGCTTTCCTGTGTGTGCACAGTGAAGCCCACAGCAGCTACTATAAGACAGCAATAGTTCTGACCTTCTCTGTTCAGTTTAACAATATCTGTTTATACTCAGTATCAGACTATGATAAAGTACAGTCCTTGCTGGATTTACAGTGCTCAGCATGACTGAATGCATGCCTTCTTAGATCTCCCAAACTCAGCAGATAAGAGAGCTAAGCTTTCACTGGGATACTGGCTGAAGCAGAAATGAGTAAAGTGATTAAAAGCGTATTATTGTTTGAAAATCAATACAGACTGTAAAATAAGAGCCAGAAGAGAGGTTGCTAATACGATAGGTCTGAATCAGCAAGATACGTAGAAAGTGCATCCACCTAACAAGTTTACCAGAGAACATAAAAAAAAATAATCAATAACTAGAGCATTAAGGGCAGATTTACAGGAAATTGCAGGAGAACCATCCGCTTTGGTACCACAAAACACTGAGCACAGCAGTGAGACAGCTGTCTAAATTCAATATGCTCTGGAGTGATCTTTAGATTCACCATCTCCTTGCAAGTAATCCATTGCCATCGTTAGGCTGCTGTGGGCAAGTGCTGAGTGCAGGATAAGCCAGGCTTTGAACCTGGGGTGTCCCACAGGTGCTGCAGCACTCTCTATGTGAATGCTAAGTGGGAGCCCCGAGCTATTTCCCATCTGCCAGATGCAAACCTGCTTCCAATCACTGCAGGACAATTGGCAAGCTCATTCCTTTGCTTACACTTTGCATCATATACCTGCTTACTCTTTCACAGCTGCACAGGTGGATTCTTCAAAGTGATAAAGAATTACTCTTTTGGTAAATTCTCCCATTTTAGTATCATAACTATAGCAGAACTGAAGTTCTCTGCACAATACTGCTATAACAGATTGTCCTGCAGCCATTGCTCTGCAGGGGGATCAATGGAGAGCAGGTGAAGCTTTGTCAGAGCTGCCTCTTTTGCTTTGAACCTCATGGTAGAAAGGATAGAGAGGATGTCAGTGTTCACTACCCTCCCAATATAGCTGGAACATCAGACCAGTGATAATTAGCTCTTACAGGAAGGAGTGACTCTGCTACAAGGAGGTTTTCAGGCCTCAGGAAAAACATTTCTAGATTGAAAATAGTAACTACTTGCTAGCTCAAAAACTCTAAGCAAACAAGTCCTTGAGGTATGCATTTATAGAACTATAGTGATGTTACACAGCAATGCTTGGCTGCATTAGCCCTATATTGAGTATTGCTGAGTATTGTTTTTGCATTTATTTTTCCATCATCCAAAAGTGTGCAGTTGAGGTGACAGTGAGTTTGTTCACACTGAATCCTAACCAGCAGCTGGAAAATATATGTGATTTCATCCAGGATCTTCCTGCTCATATGGCACCTTTAGAACACCAGCAGCTGGGAGGAAGGGTATACTGGCTGTTAAAAGAAGTCTGAAATTTTAGTGGGAGCTGATTTGTTCATACTCAGTTCTCTTGGGTTTTCTCCTCTCCATTTTGCAAGAACAGTATAATTCAACAGTTTGGGTGCTTGAGTGCTGCTTCCTCCTTAACGTATTAGCTATGCTGTGGCTTGTTGACAGATACAGGGTAGGATCCTGAAGCCAAATACATCATCACATCAGCACTTTCGCATACTTTTCAGTGGAGGCAGGACTGAGCCAGGGAAGAGCCCCCTTCTGTTTTGCCTACCTAAACACCACAGCCACTGAAATGCTGCTCTTAAAATGATGGTTGTTCTTCCTTCTATCTCTTTGTTCCATGAGGTGCGGACAGTCAAACAGTCCTGACACACGGCTCCATGAATGCCAGCATGGTGCAGAGAGATGAAATGTGCACAAGGCTTATGACAGATACTGAGTTTCACAAGCTGTCTGCTGTGTGCTTTGGCACGCTCCGAGGCAGCATGTCCACGGCACAGCACGTCCTTCTGCGTGCTGAAATGGCACCACCTCCCATAGACAGAGCCAGGCTGAATTGCTGCGTGCTGGCAGTGTTCGTGCGTGCTGGTAGTGCTGGGGAAATGATGAATGCAGTGATGCCATTGTAAGGAGCGAGCTGCATTCCCACGGCTCCTGCAGCAACAGTAGGATCCATATTGGTTGAGAGGAGGAGGAAAGTCATAGCTGGAAAAAGAGTTGGATTTGACAGCGATGAGTCTGGGAGGTTCTCGTGGGCTTGTCAGGACGACCAGAAGGATTTTCTGAACTTACATGCTGGTATTTTTAAAGACAACTTCAAAGCGGTAGGGCGGCTGCAGGTTTCAATGGCTACATTTTGACAGCTATCTTGGCTTGCATGAGCGCTATGTTTCAAATACTGAGAGCAGTCCTTTGGTGCCCACCATTACTTAAAATGCTTCAGGATAGCCCTGCACAGCTGGTGAGAAGAGCACCTAGAGCAGGCAGGTGACAAGCCTTTACTCTGTAATGGGATGCTGTAGCAGCAGCGTGCTGCTTGGTGTGGTTTTCGAGTGGGAAGTGACTGCAGGAGGTGTGGGTCGTGAAAGAAAGCAATGCTGCTATGGCAAAGAAGACTTTAAACCACAGCAGAGCAGTGCCGAAGCAGCCTGGTCAGGTGACAGTCATGCTTCCTTCCTCCTTGCCCTGCCTGCACCGCCATGGGCTCTTCTGAGACAGCACATGCATCAGTCGTTCCTCACAGATGCGAAACATGAGGAGCAGCAAGGCAGCAAGTGGGATTTCTATATCCATAATAAGGAGGTGTACTGCAGGCGGCCTGGTGCTGCTCCTGTGCTGCCTCTGGCAGGGCCTGGGAGGAGGAGGGAGGAGTGTCTGTTTGTCCTGAAGCACAGTGGCCATTTCTCCTCTTCCTGCTCAGGAAAGTACTTTGTTTATCCCAGGGATGTGGCCACCCAGAGAAGTCAAATCTCATGCTGTTCTTTCAACTGCTTTGAAAAAATGACCTAAGACTGTGTCCTTCTGTGTTTCTTTCCTGACAATACGCAGACACTGCTGGCATTCAGGGCAACTACTGTCAGAGAAGTGAAGGCCTTATTCTTGTTTAAGGCATGCACTACAGTTCATTCATTGCATACCAACAGCCCTAGCAAATAAGTCAGAATGAGCACTCTATCATACACCTTTACCGGGGAAGTTTTTCTTTCTCTGCATCCATCTTACTCATTGCAAATTTTCTGTCATGCAGCCTAGAGCATCTTCCTCACCTTGGTTTTGTCCCTCTCAGACCCAGCTCATTGCCCTTATGCTCTGCAATTTTCCTAGTTTGAGACACAGCCAGTTGCTCCCTACCTATAACTCCTAACCCGTTATAATCTACTTCAAACCCACCACTCTTTTCTGTATAAAATTTTCTGTGCAGTACCAACACGTAAACTCTTTGCTCTACAGCACTCAAGCAATGTTGCTTACTTTGCATCGTACAACGACTGCATCAACAATCTTTTTTGACTGACTAAAATGTTACTAGCCAATGCTGAGCCTATGAAAAAGAACAGCTTTGCTTCTGATCAGATCACTTCTGGGAGAACATAAAGAGCTCTTTTTCCACAACCCAGATCCTTCACATTCTCTTGTTGCACCCCAGGCTCTGAGATCTGGTGGTAAAAGCAGTGCAGCACAGCAAACGTGTGCTGGTCAGCATGTAAAGCATTGGTCTCCAAAAGACCATTGGAAAGCCAGGTGTGCTGCAGGGTATGCTGGCATGTGACTGCGCACGTCGCTCATCCCAACGAGCTACAGATTATAAGTCAACCAGTGAAGAGAATTCAGTATTTGTATGCATTAATAGAGACAGGGAAGGCTTGTTGTCTATAAATAAGATGCTGTGATTCACTCCTCCATAAATAGAATCAATTAATTCATGAGAGTCATTCTCATACAATTTTACAACAGGATTGAAAGCCATCTCTATTGATCTCTTCAAATCGATTGTGCTGTTCAACACCAATTGGTACAAAGCATCATTTGGTCACCTTTATGACTCTCCTACATCGGTGCACTCGTAATGTCATTCTGTATCATTTCACATCTGCTGAATTGAGCTAATATCCCATCTGCCTCAGTGATAATGTTATGAGCTCAAACTCAGATTATGATAATGAACAACTCACTCATTTCTGATCAGAGAGCTAGCTGAGGGATTAGATTATTTTTTAAAGCTTACAAAGGTTCGTTCTCTACTAAACATCGGGTTTTGCAGAAAGAAAAGTAGCTCTTCGCTTCAGGAAAAATCTTTTTTTGGCACCGCAGAATTTGCTTTCAGGGTTCCATGTCGCACCACCTTCCACTTGCTGTCGAAGAGCAGACAGAATTGGCTGGGAAGTCTTTTTGCTTCCACGGGCATCTGCCCATCTAAGCACTCAGCACTCAGAAGATCTTGCTTTTCTCCAAGTCAGTCATATAAAATCCTAAGAAAATGAGCATCTTCTGTGGGTCCGTCACAAGGATGAATGCATCCCTCCAGAGACAGTCCAACATCTCCTCAGATTTGGAAGTTTCTTCATATTATCTGCTGGAGGAATGGACTCTCAACACATCAGATACAAACGTGAAGATGTTTTTAATCCCTCCCATCGTCTGCCTTGTGGCAGGTGTCCTCGTCATTCCTTCCATCTTGTTTGTGATCTTCTCTAGGTTCAACATCCGCCAGGAGACAAGGTACATGCTGCTGGGGAACGCTCTGCTGTGCGACCTGCTCTACCTTTTGCTCTACACCCTGTCAGCTGCTCTCAGTGCAGCACGTGTAGTTCTCCCAAAGGAAGCCTGCATTCTCCAGCTGTTTTCACTGGCCGTGGCTTACTGTGGAGGATTGTTTACAGCTGCTGCGATGGTTTTGGACACGTACATAGCTATTCTGTTTCCTCTGCGCTACACTGCTATTCTGCCATCTTCGCGAGCAAGGAAAGTGATTGCATTGCTATGGGTCTGTTCTGGGGCTTTCCCTGGGGTTTTGTTCCTGGTGCTATCCAGCACTCACAGCTTTGTGCCCTGCGTCCTGGAGATGTGCGCCATCCCGGTCATAATATTGCTAACTCTGAGCGGGACCAACACAGTGAAACTCAGTTTCTGGATGTCTGCTATGGCTATCTTTCTCTTCCTGTCCCTAATATTCTGCTGCTACGGTGTTCTTTATTTTAAAACCAGGCGATCAGGTATATGGGAGAGCATCTGCTCCAGAGCCAGTGTGACATTCTTAATGCACAACACTGTGTTCTTCTTTTATTTCTCTCCACTCCTGGTTCTGTTCGTGGAATCATTCTTGTACGTTAACATTGTCATTGGACTGCAGACATCAATTTGGATCTCCCTGACGATCTGTAACGTCCTGATGATTCTGCCTAAAGTTTTGTTCCCCTTTCTGTATGGGCTTCGGTACAGAGAGATCTCAGCATCTCTCAGATCCCTTGTCAGAATTAAGCCTCTTCACCTGGTGTCACCTGCTCCATTGCCTCCATCCTGAGGCAGCACAGCAGACAGCCGCATCCTTGCCTCATCAGTGGGTAAGCCTGGTGGCAATCACTCAGCTTCTGTCAGAAGGCCACAGGTCTTTCATCACATCACAGCTGGGATTGCAGCAGATGCTGCCCCGTGAAGTTCCAACCTTCGTTCTGATGTTGGAGGAGATAGTGAGCCAAAGTCATTTCCACCCACCTGCGGCAGATGCCCTTCTGGAAAATAGAAAATGAAAAACTAGATGGTGTGAAGCAGAGGAGTGCAAAGCAAAGGGGGTAGCTAGAGCTCTTGACATGAGCAAGATCCTTAAACAAGTGTGCTGGGAGCAGAACCACTGTTTTTTTCCCTGACAGATACTCTTGCAAGGTTGGTAACTCACATCCTATTCTATAAGACATTTGAAGGAAGGTGCCTCTGCAGACCGCAGCTCCGTGCTGCACCGCATGCCCTGTGTTATCCTGTGTCTGCCTTACGGGCTCTGCCTGACCGTCTGCCAAACAATGTGCTCCCATGGAGCTGGGCTGCTGGGCTGCCTCAGGGGGCAACGAGGAGCACTGGGTGGCTGCCTCATTAGCTGAAGCAGCTGCCTGTGGAGTTGCAGGCTAAAAATATCCCTCCAAAGAGAAGTGATGTTGTTTTCAGTCTAACCGAGATTACCCCAGAGATCTGTTTTGTAGCGTGTTCTGCAAACTGCTATGTCAGCACAGCTGAGGGGAGATACATTTTGTTGTGGAGGTGGGAATGTGCAGGGACGTGGTGGGGCTGTTCTGTGAAGGGACCTCCTTGTGTGAGAGCATCTTGAAGCTGAAGTTGTTGCAAGTGAATAAACCATCTTGCATGTTTGTTTCACTCATGGCTCTGTGCTTCCCATGTGTTTACCTGAAGGAAAGTTAAATCGCTGAGTAACCACTTTGTTTTCCGGAAGAAAAAAACCCTCTTCACAATCGTGTTCAATACAAAAGTAGGACCTCACAGCTGCTTTGATGTTCCACCCGGATGAAGGTACTGCAGACACTGTCCCACACCAGCTGTGTCTGTATAAGGACTTTGGTTGCAGTCTATGAGGAGGGTCTCCCATAACACAGGTAAGGGTGGGAACAACACCTGTGTGCTTGGCCAGGTGCATTCAGAACATGATCAGGGCTGGAAGGCACGAGGATGCATCCTCCAAGGCTCAGTCCTGGGCCACATTGCTACACTTCTGCCTGGTGGCAAGAGCACCAATAACATACAGGATGTTCTCCATGGAATATCCTTTCAAGCTTTATTGCTGGAAGCTTGCCTATATTGTAAAAGTTCAGACTAAGTAGTGAAGAAACCTATGTTAATAGCATGGAGCAAGGTAGGGCCATAGCTGACTTGGTGTAGCTGCAGGTTAGCAATGTTCAATCTTCCTGCTAACCTCTGTTAATCACAAAGCTAACCTCCAGGACAGACTCAGGCCAACTTGCAATGCCAGTTCTGTACCGCTGTCCCATGGGTGTATTTAGAGGCAGCTGGAAGTCTGGCATCACACAGAAGAACACAGAATGCAGGAGGAAGTGAACTGGTGATAATAGCAACTTAATGTACGTACCAAGCCTGTATATGGTCATATATCATAAAGACCAAGCAATAAAATGCTGCTCTGTGGAAATGGCCCTTTGAGAAAGGTGGATACAGTCACCTTGTACATCTCCCTGGACTTGTTCCCTGGAATGGGGTTTTGCCTAGAATAATTAGCTGAGCTGCAATTAATCGGGTTGAACAGCAATCCAGACAAGGCATCCCCATGGAGAGCCAATGCTATCTTCTTAATGCTTCTGAATGTAGTTCGACACTGGACAGAGAGGGCTTCCTAAGTGACAACCTATATATTAGCTCTTACGTGGGCTGCTGCCGTGCTGTTTGGTGCAGAAGCAGTATGTTACTGCATGCATGGGAGGAGCACGTGGTGCACCAAACCATCTGGGACTTCCCACAGCTGCCCGCACAGACCTGAGGGGGTCACAAGGGCAGGGTCACCAGCATGACGTTCCTATAATTCTTCATTCTCATAAATGTCTTCAGTTTCATCTTAAATATAGTAAGGCTTCCCCACTTGCAGTGATCAGCAGCCTTGTAAGGATGTCTCCAGAGAGCTCTGGGAGTTCAGGTGGAGGCTATTTACCACGGCCCTGCTGTTGACCTCCCTGAGGTCATCAAAGTGAACTTCTTGGATGTCAGTCTGTCTGCCCAGCACATTAAATGAAACAGAGAGCGGTCGACTCTAACATGTGATTTGGCAGCTGGGAGCAGTAACCCCTGAACAAATTGCAGTAGCACAAGTGCTGCACCTCAAGGTGTATGCTGGACTCTAAGGTGTACCCCAGATGTATCCTCAGTTCATTTTTCTCTGCTTTTCTCATGCTGATGTCATCACTAAGCTCACCACTGCCATCCCTCTCCCAGCTGGGTTCACAGCCCACAAGCTGAGCTGGGAGATGGGAGCTGAGAGATGGAAGCTGGGAGCTGGGCAGTACTGGTGGAAAGGTCCATCTGTGATTCATGTGTGATCATTCCCCTGGGAGGTAGGTATGTGTGATAGTGGGGGAAAGCCAGTGACAGGAAAAGGAAATTGCAGGGTTGCTTGAAACAAGGGCTCTGCTGCGTGCAGCTCTGCCCTGTCTCTGGGGGCACAGCACTGCAGCCCTGGCAGTTTTTCCATAAACCTTGTGATTTTGGCATCTTCGTGAAACCACTGGTGCTGAATGCTTTTGTTTTTCCAGTAGTCCTTTGGATTGCGACATGAGAGAGGTGCAATCTGCATGGAAGGAACACATCTGAAGGGCCACAACCCTGGAAAACCACAACCCTGAGCTGCTATGAAGGCATCAGAGCTTCCAGCAGAGCCTGGTGCACTGCAGGAGGAGGAGGCCTGGTGCTGGGCATCAAGGGTGCCTGCAGCCATGTAAATGACACCAGGGGCTCGGCTCTTTCTCTGCTAAGTAGAGCAACAGATTGTGCATTCTGAAGTGACTCTTCTCAAGCAAAAAAATACATGCCTTGCTGCTGGTGTTGCAGGGTGAAAATCAGTAAGCCTGGGCAGGCCAGACTGATCCACCTCGTGAAAACACACTGCAGTGGTTTATGTAAGGGACATTTATGTAAGGGACATTTCCTCATGTCTCTGGGAGGCAGAACTGGATGGGACAGCCTGGAACAGTGGAATCATGAGAAGTGCGGCCCCTGCAGAGTGAAGGGCGTGAGGGAAGAGGATCAAGGACAGCAGAGCTGCAGATGGAAGTTCTGTAGGAAGAATTAGAACACAAAAATGTCAGTCTGAGCTAGGATTACAGGAGTGATCTTTGAGGCATGGGGTACGCTGAGGCAGGATTTCTATCAGGCTTTGTGGGGAAGGACACCTCTGGGGACACCCACTGCCACAGCTGTCACACAGTGCAGCCCTGTGCAGCTCTGGGCCCCTGCACAGCCTGAGAGCTCTGCACCTGGGGTGCAGAAAACCCCTACTTTTGTCTCAGACCAATAGGAGAGGTTCTGTTTTTAGTATTGTATCAGGCAAAAGGAGAGACAGCAGAGAGAAGGAGAGAGGCTGGAGGGAGTCAGCACTCTCTGCTTGCACAGATTTGTTTTGTGCAGTGTTTTCTGTTTTTGATTTAATGGTGAGTTGCTCTTTCCAGCAGCTGGGCAGGGGAGGAGGGACTAGAATATGTTCCCAGCCTTTGGCCAAGAGTTTCCCAGAGTGTCCCAGGCATGACCTCTTCCGTGTTTATTTTCCCTTCTCTACAACTGACCCAGATGCCGAGACTTGAGCCTCCAGCCCTGCTGGCATGTTGCACATTTGCCCCTTTTGGTACAGCATGTGACGGTCCCGGGGATCAGGCCGGCTGTAGTACCGAGAACTGTTTTTCTTTCCAGCAGGCTGTTCTGTCCGCTGGCGTTCCAGGAAGCCCAAATCCAATAGAAAAAGCCTGGTGGAGCACTGCCATCCAGCGGGGACGGAGCGGGGCTGGGGCAGATCAGGACACGTTTATGTGCAGCAGCAGGGAGGAGAGCCCCGCGGACACAGCGGCAGCCAGCCCGGAATAGAACAGAAGGGAAGCCAACTTTTGGTCTGCTTTATTAGAAAACAACCACAGTGAATGTTCAGTGGAACAAGATTAGAGTTCATTTATATTTGCAGCCGGTCTTTTCGTTGGGACTGACAGCAAAACTTGCAAATTGAGATGGAATTTTTTCATCACACAGAGCTGAAAATCTAACAAAGCGTCTTCAAGCAAGCAAGCAAACAAACCGGTTTTAACTTAAGCTAATGTCCTGATCACTGAGAAAAAGCACAGCTTTGGAGGAAACAACATTATATTTCACCAAAGTTATAAAGCTTTAATTCCAAAAGTATCTTCTCTTTTTCACTAGTAGGTGCTGCAAGTCCAACTGATCACAATAAATAGCTGAACACACTTCAGGAAAGGCTGAGCCACTTCAGGCAGATCCAGCAGGGAGCTGAGTTTCCCACCTACCTATCACATGTCTTTGTCTGATCTGAGCTACAGTCTCGGCAGGAGAAAACTACAGCTGGTGCCTTCTTTGACTGGAGGGGAGGAATTAAGATAATTTAAGGACGTGCTGTACAGAGAAAACACAAGGGCTGAGCATATATACAGATACTCCCCAGGTGACGCTAGCAGCAGCACCACCGTCCGTCGCTACCTGCACAGCGTCCCTGCAGACTGTGCCACAGGGCACGGAGGTATGGAGCTCCTGTGCAGTTTCCTGCAGTCAGACAGAAACTGCCCCAGGCACAATCCTGCGGATGTGTGTGTAGGACTTCCTGAGGGTAACGCTCCCGTGGTGAGACACTCCCCGCGGCAGGACGCACTCTTCTGTCAGCTTCTGGGTCTCAGGGTCCCAGCACAGGACTGTCGCAATCACTTCGTTCTTTTCATCTCGGCCGCCGGTGATGAACAGCTTGTTGTTGCAAGGAGAGATCCCACAGCTGGCCCTCTCGTGGGTGAACTGAGTCACGAG